AACCACAGACAGAGGCAGGAGAACCACAGACAGAGGCAGGAGAACCACAGACAGAGGCAGGAGAACCACAGACAGAGGCAGGAGAACCACAGACAGAGGCAGGACAACCACAGACAGAGGCAGGAGAACCACAGACAGAGGCAGGAGAACCACAGACAGAGGCAGGAGAACCACAGACAGAGGCAGGAGAACCACAGACAGAGGCAGGAGAACCACAGTCACGGGCACTGACAATATTACCCTTGTGGAATTGCGATCAGTGCATTGAAGAGTATGTGACGTGTTTGCGTGCATGCGGGGGTGAGCTGATGGAGCGTGTGGTAAAGTTGTTGGCGTATGAGCAGGAACACAGAGACATACAGGGAATAAGTACCTTGTCTGATTATTTTATTGTGACAAAATAAAGCCCACGACTCTTTTAGCAACAATCCGGAGAAATAACTCAGCAGATAACAGTGAGGGTCTTTGAAAAGGGTTAGAAATAGATAAACCCATTATAGATGCATGAATAAAACCCCGTACTCAACACGTAGAAAGCTCATCCTTTCAGCCGTGGAAAGACTCGCTCCGTGTGGACCCCTCTCAGCGCCATCGTCTGGTCAGAGTGGTCTACAGCAGATTGGATTGGAATGTCTCGATGGCTCATTTTCCTTTGATTTATTATAAAAACGTATTGCTCACATTATTTGTTACTATGTCGAAATAAGAAGTCGTTTGATTTAAATGCTGTATATATGTAAATTGAATTTAACATAAATAAATAAAAAGACAGCCCCCCCTGCGTCCTACGACCGCGGTCTGGGGCTTAAACAGGAAAGTTTTACAGAATCAATCAAACAACATTATTTCTGGCTACTTCATGGATGCAGTGGTCACTGTAGGCAATATCTTCATAATCTGCAGGTGAAGGACGTCCAGAGACCGTTCCAGACAACAACACATACGAGTTTTCAACTGCACATGCGCAGTTGAAAACTCGTAATTTTGACTTTTAAAGTCGAAATTTTGACTTTCTGTTTGCTTTTTTTTTTTTTTACATGGCGGAAACGGGCTTCCACACAAACCAATAATGACCGCAGCCCCAATGCAATCTCTGTAATTCAGGTGTGTAAAATACTAACATTACTCTGCAAGTACAACAAGCCTTCAGCGCCTGTCACTACACTGTGCAGTTTCTCTGCACACTTGTCTGTGTAGAGAAGCTAGCCGAGCTAGCCACGCTCAATAAACAAATACATATCAATCAATCAACACCATTAAACGTTAATCGGACAATACAGTATACATATACATCCTAGGGCTGGGCGATATGGCTGAAAACTATATCACGATATAAGTCATTCATATCGGTCGATATTTTTTTTTACCTAAATAAATATATTTGTGGTGTGGGCTAACCAACCTTAGCAGCCTTGTTTACAGTCACGGGGCGATGAGGCTGGAGAAATATGTTCACACTGTGTCCCTCTTGTCAGTCCTGGTTTAATCCTGGTTTTTTATTCCTGGTTTAGCTCCTGGTTTAGCTGTTTGAGGGTCTTGTGTCCCCGTGACCGCTCCGTGCGGCTCTCTGTGCCGCACATGCTTCCCGAGGAAAAAGGTTAATCTCTTGCTTTCGCCGAATACATGGTGTCTGTCCACTGCCTCTGCCGCCGCACATGTTATTCCGCGCACGTACGTGCATAACCATTGACACGGCATTGAAACACGAGCTATAGATCCATGGACGCCACGCATGGTGCGGTTGTTGTTGTTTTTGCATTTCCCACAAAGTTTTGCGGTTCCTGCTCGGCTGTTATTGGTCGAGAAGCCTCTGCCTACATCCCCCACAATGCCATGCGCTTATGAGTCGGCTTTACTTCAGGTGTTTTTTTCCTGTTTTTCCTGACGGAGTTAAGTTAAACTATCGAACATTCTATCGACCCCATTCTCTATTGATATCGAACACATGTCTATCGCGATATATATCATTATCGTTTTATCGCCCAGCCCTAATACATCCTTAACACACATGCACGGACGATTTCAGAATTTGCTGTTAACGTTTTCATGACAAAAATACTGTTTTAAAGTGACAAAAAGCGATTGCGAAAAACCCGGAAGTTACCATGAAACAACTAGCTAGCTTAGCCGTTACCTGCCTAGCACGTCCCGGTGAAACCTTTGGGAGCTAACTATTTTATTTGCAGTCATTAAATACATTTCGAATTATAAGGGTTGTCTAATATTTGTTCAAATTTTTTTATTCAATTATTTTGTTCATTTTTTATTTTAGAATTATATTCGAATTTTGAAGTCGAAGCCCCGGCACTGTAGAGGCAAGAGGACGCAGGCTGTTCGCTTCTTGTTCTGTGAGTGGAGGCTCCCGCTCAGACTCTACTCAGCACTTTTCACTGCTTGGAATTCTTACACAGCTGAATCAATTACCTCAAGTTTTCAATTAAATGATGTATTATGATACAACTTGTATGTAGTAAAAAGCATTTTTATGAACTACTTAGAAAAAAAAATTCAGTTGGTGATGTGCTACAAGATATTTTTCAATGACAAAACAGCAAACACAGAGAAACTCTGGCCCTTCTCGCTGTGAGGCCTGAGCACTTCCCACTCAGCCACGTGCCGCCAATTTCTAACTACCATAAACACCTCATGGATGATGACTGACTCTCTCCAGTCTCTCTCTAGTCTCTCTCTAGTCTCTCTCTAGTCTCTCTCTAGTCTCTCTCTAGTCTCTCTCTAGTCTCTCTCTAGTCTCTCTCCAGTCTCTCTCCAGTCTCTCTCCAGTCTCTCTCTCTCCGGTCTCTCTCTCTCTCTCTCTCCGGTCTCTCTCTCTCTCTGGTCTCTCTCTGGTCTCTCTATAGTCTCTCTCTGATCTCTCTCTGATCTCTCTCTGATCTCTCTCTAGTCTCTCTCTAGTCTCTCTCTAGTCTCTCTCTAGTCTCTCTCTAGTCTCTCTCTAGTCTCTCTCCAGTCTCTCTCCAGTCTCTCTCTAGTCTCTCTCTAGTCTCTCTCCAGTCTCTCTCTAGTCTCTCTCTAGTCTCTCTCTAGTCTCTCTCCAGTCTCTCTCTCTCTCTCTGGACTCTCTCTGGTCTCTCCATGGTCTCTCTCTAGTCTCTCTCTAGTCTCTCTCTAGTCTCTCTCTAGTCTCTCTCTAGTCTCTCTCTAGTCTCTCTCCAGTCTCTCTCTAGTCTCTCTCCAGTCTCTCTCCAGTCTCTCTCTAGTCTCTCTCTAGTCTCTCTCTAGTCTCTCTCTAGTCTCTCTCTAGTCTCTCTCTAGTCTCTCTCTAGTCTCTCTCCAGTCTCTCTGGTCTCTCTCTGGTCTCTCTCTGGTCTGACTCTGGTCTCTCTCTGGTCTCTCTCTGATCTCTCTCTAGTCTGTCTCTAGTGTGTCTCTAGTCTCTCTCCAGTCTGTCTCTAGTCTCTCTCTAGTCTCTCTCTAGTCTCTCTCTGGTCTCTCTCTAGTCTCTCTCTAGTCTCTCTCCTCCATTTCGGACCAGCAGAGACTGAAGCAAAGACTGAAACAGAGACTTGAACAGACGGAGAACTATCTCTGAATAAAACTTCACATAACTTTAATGAGCTGCTCATAAATCCCTCATCTGTATAAAGCAGCCGGACCTGTAGGAGGTGGTGGTGTTCTCTCCTCCTTAATTAAAATATCTCGCTCTCTTTCTCATTTAAATGGCGCAGGATGAGGTCTAATGTATTATGTATGTGAGTGCTGTCCATGGTCCTGAACGCAGATCCCACCGGAGATCACGTCGGTGCGGTCTCCTCAGAATTGAGTTACTGCGAGCGACAATCAACACGTGAATATATGATGAGAAACAAATGAACAGCAGCAGGAGAGAGGACACTGGGGTTCAGGTTCGTGTGACATCACAACACTGCAAGGAGTCTATAGTTTCAAAGCTGAAAAATTGGTCCTGGTAACTACGGTACCTGTCAAATTTGATTTGAGTCAGATTTGAGTTTGAAGCTTCTCTGTGATTCCTGGGACAATCCACGTGAAACAAAAACATAAAATTCAAAATTGTGAGTTCCAAAAGAATATCAACTATGGTCTGTCTCTGGCCCGTCTCTGGCCCGTCTCTGGTCTCTCTCTGGTCGCTCTCTGGTCGCTCTCTGGTCTCTCTCTGGTCTCTCTCTGGTCTCTCTCTGGTCTCTCTCTGGTCTCTCTCTGGTCTCTCTCTGGTCTCTCTCTGGTCTCTCTCTGGTCTCTCTCTGGTCTCTCTCTGGTCTCTCTCTGGTCTCTCTCTGGTCTCTCTCTGGTCTCTCTCTGGCCTCTCTCTGGCCTCTCTCTGGCCTCTCTCTGGCCTCTCTCTGTAAGTAATCTAGTAAGTAAGTAATCTTTTATTTATATACCGCCTTTTCACTGCAGATCTGAGTCTCAAAGCGGTTTACAATTGTTAAATTGTAAACCGCTCTGGCCCCGCTCTGGCCTCTCTCTGGTCTCTCTCTGGTCTCTCTCTGGTCTCTGGTTGTTCACTCTCACTTCTTTCTCTGGCTTCTCGCTGGTCCCTCTCTAGTCTCTCTCTCTGGTATCTCTCCCTTTCCTCCTGGATTGTCATCTCCACTCTTTTTTAATGCACTGTGATTATATGATTTGAATGCCATGTGTGATCTTGCTAAAGCACTTTGAATTGCCTTTTGTATGAACTGTGCTATACAATTAAACTTTCCTTTCCTTTCACAGACACCGAGACTCAGCAGATCAGAGTGTAACGAGTTTGACAGATGGGGTTCCATGTTTGCAGTCTGGATCCAGTCTGAAATCCTGCTCATATTTCTACATTCCCCTCGGGATGATGGCCCAGGGGGAATGGACAGAGGTAGTTAATATTCATATATGAAAATGAAGTAAAAAAGAGCCGCAGGTTTATGGCAAAATCTTAAAATAGCAGCAAAAGTGACCAAAACATAGCACAATCACAGACTGATACACACATATATGACTATGAACCACAAACGTGCCATCGTTTTAGTCAGATAGTTGTGTGTCACTCACCCGGCCATGACGATGAAGAAGTCCAGCCGGTTCCAAGTGTCGCCAAGGTAACAGCGCTGTCCGAAAATCCCCAACGCCAACATCTTCACCACCATCTCCATCGCAAAGAACATGTAGATGAAGGCGTCGAAGGCCTGAGGACACGCACAGTATTTTGGTAAAAGAAACACACACACACATATTCACACACCATACATACATCAGTACATGAACACACACACCAGACTCATTCTAATGTGTGTGAAGTGTCTGAAGTGCAATATTTTTTCAAATGACACATTTTAAGTCAACTCCAAGATGTTAAGTTTAGTAAGAGACGTCTACAGTAGTTTTTTTAAAGGTCAGATTAAGGCTGGGGAACTAAAACACTTTCATGAATCTATGTTATCGATCCCAAAGTCAAGTGAGAATACAGACCACACCATAATGCCTTTTATTATAATATTTTGCACACTGTGAGAGCCCTGGGAGTCAGTATTTGACACTGAGGTTGGTCATCTCTTTCTCACTTTTCTGTCTGAAAAAGCTTATTTAAAGATGTGACAGAGGACAAACACACACAAACATACAAACACATGCGAAAACTAACGACGGAAACTGTTTTGAGCGCTAGGAACCAGTTGTATACATTTCAACACAGAGTTCCATTGTTTGCGGTTTGAAAGTCACGTCCCCCAGCTTTAAACAGCGGAACACACACACACACAGTTGACCTCCTATTATCTCTGCACACAACAGCAGCTACGGGTGCCCTTCAGGGACACACTACGGTTTGTCCATCACTCTCATTTAGTTCCCACACACTCTCAGTCATCTTTTCCCCCAAAGAAAAATAATTAGTGTGAGCAATAATCATCATTAAGCCCGGTATTGACCCGGCGACTGAGCCCTCTTTAATCAACCGTCTAATTAAACCGGCACCGGAGCCAAAAGACGACAGTAAATCAAAGATGGCGGCGCGATGAGGCCGGTTAGCAAAGAGCGGGATTAGCCGAGCTCCCTTTGGTGCGTTTGGGGATTAGCGGTGATGCTACTTGAGCGGATACGGTTGTTACTATGCATTGATGCTACATGCTAACCGCTCATTAGAAGAGAACTGGAATCGTAAACTGTTATAGACAGATGTAATCCATTATTGTAGCATATAGGTGTCTGTTTTCTTCTGCTTTATCCATAGCCGGGTTGCAAAGTAATGTATTACTACAATATTACTGTCTATTACTTTGAAGTTACTTTCCACAAAAATATAAATACAAACTAAATGTAGCTTATGATGCTAGCATATGGTTGAAAGCAATTTTGGTTTGAACATAAACGTAACTGTTATGTTTCACATCTTTGTCTCCATTCAGCCATCCATTCTCTTCCGCCCAGACTTCCCTATCCACACACACTTCCTCCAGCTCGTCCGGAGGACCCCAAGGCGTTCCCAGGCCAGCTGAGAGACATAGTCCCTCCAGCGTGTCCTGGATCTTCCCCGGGGTCTCCTCCCAGTGGGACGTGCCCAGAACACCTCCCCAGGGAGGCGTCCAGGAGGCATCCGGAACAGATGCCCGAGCCACCTCAACTGGTTCCTCTCGACGTGGAGAAGCAGCGGCTTTACTCTGAGGTCTTCCATGTGCCACACTGCAGAGGAAGCTCATTTCCACCGATTGTATTCATGAACTCCTCTTTCGGTCAATACCCAAAGCTCATGACCATAGGTGAGGGAGGGAACGAAGATTGACCGGTAAATCGAGAGCTTTGCCTTTCGGCTCAGCTCCCTCTTTACCACGACGGTCCGATACAGCGACCGCATCACTGCGCACGCTGCACCAATCCGCCTGTCAATCTCACGCTCCATCCTTCCCTCACTCATGAAGGGACCCCGAGATACTTGAACTCCTCCACTTGAGGAGTTTTATCTCCAACAAACTGAAAATGTACTATTGTCCACATAGAGCTGCTTCTGCTTCAGCCGTCTTAAACCAGAAAGGAACTACACTTCAGACGGCTGCTATTGGCGTGGACAGTTTCTACGGCTGATGTCGCGGTGCAGAGGATAAACACATTGTACCTGTTTTAAATGAAATATTTCTTATTATTTTGTGTTATTGGTTTCATTTGATGCTTTCATGTGTTATCTCAATCTTTTAGCTTTTATGTCTTTATCTTGTAAATGTATGTTGAGTGTGTTGCCTCTTGTCCAGGACACTCGAAAAAGAGATTATTAATATCCATGAGGTTCTCCTGGTTCAATAAAATAAAAACAACACTATTTCATTTCGAGTTAAAATGCCGTAAACCAACATTACTGACCTTCGTATTGCGTCTAATATTACTCAGGTTTATGGAACACCTTCCATGACCCGGACTATGAGGAGCCCAGAGTCAGAACTACATGTAAACATTTATATTTTTGTATCTTTCTTTTTAATGTTCTGTGATTATTTATGATTTCAATGCTTTCTTATTTTGTTCAGCACTTTGAGCTGCCTTGTGTATGAATTGTGCTATATAAATAAACTTGCCTTGCCTTACAGCTACAGCACAAGACTTGACTCCCAAAACTGCTAATATGTATATATACAGTTTACAGTGGACTTCATAAATAATCTTCCACCTCTCCAGTGCCTTCACATTCTGCCCTCTCTGTCATCTCTCTCTCACAGCGTCTTCAGCTCGAGTCTACATTTATGGATGAAATGTTGCCGCTCCCAAACAAAAACATAGGCTGCCTCTTTGAAGATCTAAGTGGCTTATGTTAAAAATAATTCCCTCGTGAGTCGTCCCAGCTCCGCCGTGTTTCCCCCATTCACCGCCACGTCACTTCAAAGCCTCTGATTGCTCTTGAACGAAAGGCTTTTATTCTGAAAGGGTTAATCAGAGCGCGCAGGGCTTCGCTCTTAGTGAAAGTAGAAGTTAATGGTATTCGTTTGGAGGGTTCTTTTGTGGACCGTGGGAAATAAAGTGCAAGAGAAAATGTGGGTTTATTGGATTTGTGTTTTAAATAATGCAAAATGTGCAATTCTGGATTGGTTCTCAGACTGTGTGGGGAGATGTATGGAGGGTTTGCATGTTCTCCCCAAAGGCTGTGTATAGATGGACAGTGCTAACCCGCTAGCTCAATGGAGTCCAACAGGGAAGTGCCTCTCCAGCTCTGGCTCTTATCGACTTACACTGAAGTAAACTCCTCTACCTCAGGAACCGTTTGTGTCACACTCACTTTTGAGCTTATACAAGCTGTGGTTTCTTAGATGGATTTTGTGACATTGTTTTTGTAAATGCCCGGTGCCAGAGAGAGACCAGAGAAAGACCAGCTAGAGAGACCAGCAAAAGTGAGCAGAAACACGCCAGAGAAACACTAGAGAGACTAGAGAGAGATCAGAGAGACCAGAGAAAGACCAGAGAGAGACCAGAGAAAGACCAGAGAAGGATCAGAGAGACCAGAAAAAGACCAGAGAATGACCAGAGAAAGACCAGAGAGAAACCAGAGAGAGACCAGAGAAGGATCAGAGAGCGATCAGGGAGAGATCAAAGAGACCAGGGACCATGGTTTAGCGCTCTCTGGGATCTTAGACAATATTTTAATGTTGGCTCAGTGGTAGCCTGGTCTTACCATACCATTGTACTAATTTCAATTCTTACTAAGGTCTGGATTTGCTCCATTGACTCCGTTAACAGGTGGGAGGGGTTTCTTTTGCAGATTGAAATGATTGGATCTGAGTTTACCGTCACGTATGTAATGCGACCGAGTGAGCTCTCTGATTGGTTGGAGGAGATTCAACCGAGGAAACTGCAGCCACTAGGATCAGACCCAGACGTATATGTAGGAAATGAAAATTGACCGAAGTTTACGGATGGCTAAGGCGAAGCTAGCTCGGTGGTTGGAGCTCCCTCTGGTGGCAGCACAGGGAGTTGCAGGCGGAAAGCTTTTTTACACTTCATACTCGTCGCACCATATAATTTCTACCGAAGATATGATTTCACATTCAAAAACGTCGTCTCATTCCTATTGTTCTAAAAGCCAAAAACAATACATAATATGTCTCTTCACTCTGTCACACTCGTTTCTATGCATTTTAAACCTTTACGGCTGAACACGGTGCGAGTGACATTCATTTGAGGTGATCTTAGCGTGTGACAGATACCGGCCCTTCCCCCGCAGTAATCCCACGTGAGCAAATTACGTGTGTGTGTGTACGTGTGTGTTAGTGGATTAGCATTACCACTGCTCCTGTCTGCTCCATCAAAAGGCCCACGCTGTTTTAACATAAGCCACAGGGAATAAAGGCTGGTGCAGCGGAGGTGACTCACCGCTGATAGAGAAGGCATCAAAATTACACTACCTTTGTTCGTTTTCATATTTTACAACTCTCCATTCACAGTGTGTTGTGGAGCCAGAGTGAGTTTTATCCACAAAAACCTGGTCATGTTTTCTGTCACTTTTCTCGGCTCAGGGTTGTGTGAAATGTGGCCGTGACCTTTTGGTTTCACTTCAGCAAGTACAGTAGAAGTTTATAAAACACAAATCTCGAGGCTCTTGTTGCAGAAATGTGTTGCTCGATTGGTCAGGATTATAAACTGAGAATGTTTTCAGGACACAGGTTATACACTGAGGAAAGAGAGAGCACATTACCCCCGTGCTGGCCTCACTGTATGCTGGTCTCTCTGTGGTCTCGCTGAGGTCTCTCTCTAGTTTCTCTCTGAGGTCTCGCTCTAGTTTCTCTCTGAGGTCTCTCTATAGTCTCTCTCTGAAGTCTCTCTCTAGTTTCTCTCTAGTTTCTCTCTGTGGTCTCTCTCTAGTTTCTCTCTGTGGTCTCTCTCTCTAGTCTCTCTCTGAAGTCTCTCTCTAGTTTCTCTCTAGTTTCTCTCTGTGGTCTCTCTCTCTAGTTTCTCTCTCTGGTCTTTCTCTAGTTTCTCTATGGTCTCTCTCTGGTCTCCCTGTGGTCTCTTTGAGGTCTCTCTCTGGTCTTTCTCTAGTTTCTCTCTCTGGTCTGGTCTCGTAATAAATACCAATCAAGAGCGAATTAACCATAAATTAAACAGTAATTATCCCTTCATTAGCTGTTAATTACTGAGGGCTAAACAAAAGTGTGACTCAAATGTCATTATTTAGAGCAGAAATTAGGGAAGCAGATCCCTCTCTAAATAACGGCCTCCAAGATATCTGAAATTATTATTTTTTTCCCTCTGTTTTGTTTCCTTGTGTGGTTCTTTGCTGATGCAGGACTAAGGTCTAAGGACAGTTAAGATCCGGGACATTCTGGGACAGTGGCCATCCGCTCCCTATGGACCAATGTGTTTGCTATTATTACAGGTTTAATTCTTGTATTTGAACCGTTTGATTCTCTAAACGGTTGTTGCCGATCTCTCTGGTCTCTCTTTGGTTTCTGGACTTTCTCTGGTCCAACCTGGTCTCTCTCTGGTCTCTCTGGGGTCTCTGGTATTTCTCTGGTCTCTCAGGGGTCTCTAGTCTCTCTCTGGTCTCTCTCTAGTCTTACCCGGTCTCTCAGTGGTCTTTCTTTTTTCTCAGTGGTCTCTATTCATCCTCTGGTCTTTCTCTTGTCTCTGGTATCTCTCTGGTCTCTCAGTGGTCTCTGGTATCTCTCTGGTCTCTCAGTGGTCTCTGGTATCTCTCTGGTCTCTCTCTGGTCTCTCTCTGGTCTCTCTCTGGTCATCCTCTGGTCTGTCTCTGCTCTAACCCAGTCTCTGGTGTCCCTCTGGTCTCTGGTCTCCCTCTGGTCTCTGTTCTCAGTCCTGGTCTCTCCTCAGCCTGCCCTCCACTCGGATCCTTCAATTTGTAAAATCCCCCAGACGACAGCTGTTGTGATTTAGGACACACAACACAGAAACACACAGATACGTTGAATTGATATGATCCAGTTTCCACCAGGGCTTTGTAAACTCACTGAACATTCTGACGTCTATGCTACGTTATTTTAGCTCTAATGTGTTTTCACCGTCTCTGCTCCTGTCCCCCTCCCCCCTCCTTCCTGTAACACGCACATATATATCAATAAAACCTCTCTTTTTGCGGCGACACATTCTTCACATGTGGCTCAAACACTCTGCTTCTATAGAAAGTGTCCATCGAGCGGAGGATTGTGAGACGCTAAATCGGGCCGATCGAAGTGTGTCCGCACACAGAGGCGGGAGAAATTCTATTAGGCTGAAGCGGAAAACCTCAGGAGGCCGAGACGGAGTCAATGGGAGGAGAGGGGAGAGAGGGGGAGCGAGGGGAGGACTGTATAGGGACGTGGGAGATAGCTGCTGTGCTAATAATTGTATGATAAACCTCACTCCCACTGGGCAAAAACACGGGAATTTCGACCAAAACCCCAGTGGTGTAGAGTCAACAAGAAAAAAAAAAGAGATTTATGATTTAATATTTATGATTCTGATCTGACCAGGGGCGGTTCTAGTTCCCAGGGGGGCAAAGTAAAATCTGTTTCCAGGGCCCACTTCAATGACCTCCAGGGATTGGACTTGGGACAAAAGCAGGACATTGAAGAGATCAGGTCTTTAAGGTCACAACGGCCTCTGCATTTTCAATGTTTTTTGGGTCAGTTCATATGTGTGGGTTGGCGTCCTTGCTGTGATGCACATTGTCAGATAAAAGGTTCTGTCTTTGTTTGAAAAAAAAAAAAAAACAGAAATTGAAATTGAAGTGGCCGGGCACTTGTGCAGGGACCGCTGTCTGATTTTTCAACATCCCTCGTTGGGAAGAGCACCTCACATTTCCATGTTTTTTAGAGTGTGTAACAAAAAGGGACACTGCTAAATCATGTTTATGTGTAAAAAGTTTAAGATTGCATGTTATTTTTTGTTTCAATTCAATAAAGAAATCAAATTATAGTCCAGTGAGAGAGAGACACACACACACACACACACACACACATGTAGACCTAGACACACAGACAGAGACACAGAGAGAGAGAGAGACACACAAACCCAGACACACAGAGAGAGACACAGAGAGAGAGAGACACACAGACACAGTGAGAGAGACACACAAACCTAGACACACAGACACAGACAGAGACACGGAGAGAGAGAGAGACACACAAACCCAGACACACAGAGAGAGACACAGACACAGTGAGAGAGACACACAAACCTAGACACACAGACAGAGACACAGAGAGAGAGAGAGACACACAAACCCAGACACACATAGAGAGAGAGAGACACACAGACACAGTGAGAGAGACACACACACCCAGACACACAGAGAGAGAGACACACACACAGACACAGACAGAGACAGAGAGAGAGAGACACACACAGACACAGTGAGAGAGACACACAGACACAGACAGAGACACAGTGAGAGAGACACACAGACACAGACAGAGACACAGAGAGAGAGAGAGACACACAAACCCAGACACACAGACAGAGACACAGAGAGAGAGAGAGGCACACAGACACAGTGAGAGAGACACACAAACCTAGACACAGAGAGAGAGAGAGACACACAGACACAGTGAGACAGACACACAGACACAGACAGAGACACAGAGAGAGAGAGAGACACACAGACACAGTGAGACAGACACACAGACACAGACAGAGACAGAGAGAGAGACACACAGACACAGTGAGAAAGACACACAAACCCAGACACACAGAGAGAGACACCGAGAGAGAGAGAGACACACAGACACAATGAGAGAGACACACAAACCCAGACACACAGACATAGACAGAGACACAGAGAGAGAGAGAGAGAGAGACACACACACATTCCCTCTTTTCTTGCAACATTAAAAGCAGCAGCAAAACAATCAAACATACATTTTCCCATTTCTCCATCACACTGTAACCCTGCTGTGTTCGCACCTGCAGGATCTGGCATCTGTCGGAGGAGCAGTCGATGTTCTCGCACGGCTGGTACATCCCCAGAGTCACACAGTTCAGCAGGATCACCATCATACTGACGCGCTCGAACCATGTGCACCAACCATTAAGGAAAACTCACAACACACTTCAATAAACACACTGTGAAAATACATGTGATACACTGCAAAACATGATCAAAAATGAAGTATTAAACGCTGGAATTAAGGGTTTTTATCTTAAATTGAGTACATTGTGAGTGTGGCCTTGGGTCCTTGTTCTACAGTCTGAGTCCTGTCTGTCCTCGGGAGCAGATCCCTCTCTCAATGTGGGTCAGTGGTGATCCCGGACAATCAACAGTTATCAACATTCATGGACATTGGTCTCTGCTTCTTATGTGTTTTTTTATCGTTGCATTTCTTGTGTTCCAATGTCCATAAATGTTAGGTAGGAGTAAGTAAGTTATGCGTATTTATATAGCGCCTTTCACAAAGTGGTTTACAATTGTCATTTCTTTCTTCATTTTCTTTTAGTGGTAGGGGAACCTGGAGGAAACATGCAGACATGGGGAGAACATGCAAACTCCAATCAGAAAACAATCAATCAATCCCTTTATTTATCCCCGAGGGGCAATTAAAAAGCACGGAGAGTTGCAACATGCTAAAAAGGTCAAAAAACAACACATAAATACATCCTGTTTAAGTTGATGTTTGGAACATTAACACTGTGCTGGGGTAATGTTGGGGAACTGTTCTGACTGGGATTCGAACCCAGGACCTTCTTGCAGTGCTATCCACTCAGCCACCGTGCCGCCCAGTCTTATTCTAATAACTGTTGTTTTACTGCTACAGCCCTAGTCCTGCACCGCGTGGCCTTGGTCCTCGTTCTACAGCCCTAGTCCTGCACCGCGTGGCCTTGGTCCTCGTTCTACAGCCCTAGTCCTGCACCGCGTGGCCTTGGTCCTCGTTCTACAGCCTTAGTCCTGGATCTGAGGCCCTGGTCTGAGCCCTATCAGGATTAAGCAATCAGATGCCTTCACTTGCGTGGGAAAGTCCGGCTCCAATTCAATTCAATTTAATTTTTGTATCACCGTAAATGCCAATAGCTGATATCTCTGAGGACTTTACGAAAATGTCGAATTGCCAACACAGATCAGAGAATCAAACCGTTCAAACAGGAAAATAAACAATAAATATAACACATAAAGCCATTGGATCATCTCTGTCCTCAGACCCTCCTGCATCTGCAAGGGACAACTCTCAAAGCCCAGTGGGAGAAAATGAGGAACCTCCGCTTAGCAACCACCTTAGCAACCGCCTTAGCAACCGCCTTAGCAATACATGCAAACTCCACAGGACAAATGCCCATATAAGGAAAATAGGCTCAAAAATCAGCTTCTTCCACATTAAGGCTAACACTACAGTGAGTCTATTCTTTCACCTCTCTCTCCTTACAGTCTTACCCTTCCTCCTCCTCTTCCTCCTCCTCCTCCTCCTGCTCAGTGGGACGTGCTCATAATTACTGTTTTGCCTTTTAATAACCGCAACAGGAAAAACAAATCGCTGCTGAGTGATTTATGTAAAACACGGCCACAAATCTTATGAATTATTGAGAGGAAGTAATTGCCGAGCGGTTATGTAAACATTGTACACTCGTTTATCTGAATGCTCTGATGACTGAGAGCGAGACTGTTGCTGCTACTGCTGCGTTTACTGCTGATTTTACTGCTGATTTTACTGCTGCGTTTACTGCTGCTGCTGTGGTCGCACTGGTCCATAAACAAATGTAGAATGTTCTGATAAAATCTGATTGGAACGGAAGGGGAATTTACAATCAGGGAACAGTGAAAATATTAGAAAATTGCCAAGAGAGATTATTTTTAGAGGGATATTTGGGCATTTTAAATTCTAAACTAGATTTTTCTTCTTGTATTTCTGTTGAAATGACATAATACTGCCTTAATATTATCTGTGAACTCATAAACTATGCATATTTAAAGTTGGGGTACTTAACTTTCACACACACACGCACTAAATAAATTTAACAAAATCCATGTCTCTAGTTGCTGGCTCTAAAACAGCTGCTTCTATCACTAGTTTTGTCCTGCATGTGTTCCCGCCCTCTGTCATCTTTAGATCAGATTTTTCAGACAGACAGAGATTTTTCAACCAATCAGCTCTTAGCCCAAAGAGTCAAATAGTGACTCACTGGGCTCCGTTTTGGTCCGGTTGTTCACATAAGACTCTTTCTGTGGGGAGAAATTTTAAAAAATAAAAATCAAGTTATATATAAAAATGTGAGTAAGAGATGACGAGAAAGAGCCAACACTTCCATCTAGTGGTAGAGTTGGAGAAGTGTGCATTAGAATTACATAAATACATCAAACATGACGTGAGCAAACTAAAGACAATATGACAAAATAAAATCAAACACAAAAATAAGTTGAATTGAATCTTGAATTTCCAAAGTCGTTTAAATGAAATACAATTGTAGTTTGAGATACGATCAGCTTAAATTGGTTGTCCAGTTTTTCCAATGTGGTTTTACTACAAATGGCAAATACATTCTTGAATCTTAATTAAAAATACTGAAAAAAATAAAATAAATAACTATTCTGTGTCATTCTATAGTAATTAATGGATCTACTTTATGTAAATATCGTTTTCAGTGGTTTAGTGGTGATCGTGATGAGACCGCCTCTCAGACACATCTCAAATGCATAGAATATATTAAAGACATGTTGTGCTCTCAAAATAATGGAAAAGCCAGAGCTGCAGTTTGAAGGATCAGAAGCAGAAGGTCGAACATTAGAGCTAAGAAACTAAAGACGTCACACAGAAGAAAGGGGGAGGAGCCAGGAGCAACATTCAGTTTGAAAGAATCAGAATTGAATCCAGACAGTTTTACCACAAAAACAGGAAAATTAATTTATATATATCTAGAATTCAATGAGTTTCTTGGAATGAGAACTCTTTCAAGACTGTTGAGGACCATTTCAGGTCCTCTTGAAGCTCATCCAGAGAATGCCAAGAGTGAAGCAGTATCAGAGAAAAAGGTGCTGCTTTGAAGAACCAGAATATAACACATATTTTCACTTGATTCAAACTTTTTTTTCAGTACGTCCATAATCCCACATGAGTTAATTCATAGGTTTGATGCCTTCAGTGTCAATCTACTATTTTCATAGTCATCAAAATAAAAATCTCTTTGAGAAGGTGTGTCCAAACTTTTGGTCTGTACTGTATATATGTATCACTTCTTAAAACCCACTTTTATCAAACAGCTTTTAACTGTTAGTTTTATATTTTCCATTTTGTATTTTACTGTCTGCTTTGTCTTTGTTGTGTCTTTTTTCTTCTGTCTGCTTTGTTTTCCTGTATCTATTCTCTCTCATTATGTTTATTCTGCTGACTGTGCAGCGCTTTGTAAACATTGTTTTTATTTAAAAGTGCTGTACAAAATATTATTATTATTATTATTATATCAGTTGGTAGAGCATGTTCGAGCCTGAAGGTGGTGGGTTCGATCCCCCAACACGACCTTCCCCTTTTCTGCTGCCGTTGTGTCCTTGGGTAAGACACTTAACCCCACTTTACCTGAAGCCCCCGATGCTCTGTGAACTGGGTGGAGCTCTGACTGCCACCCACCAGACCCAGACATGGATTAAGGGGAAGAAAATGGATGGATGGATGTGGAGTGGAGCGATTCTAGGACAAGGTTTTTCTTGTAGCAGCTGATTCAGGACCAATCTTTGCTTCACCTTAGAAAATATCACTTAAAGGAGACATATCATGTGTGGGTATTGTGAGCAGAATGTGTGTTTTAAAAAAGAATCAAAAGATACAAGAAATGTATCTCTTGGAATGAGAAAAAAAGCAACAGTTTTTTAAATATTTGAATAATTGAAGTATAAAAGTGCTTTGTCCCATTGGAGAATCTTATTTTAACATTAATTATTACCTCATATTGTCTTGTGTAATATAAATACACTGCTACGTCTCCTTTAATCCAATGTCAAATCTTCAAACATTCCCCAGAGCTCGGACTCAGCGAAGGCTCAATTACTTTTTAAAACGTTTATTTTATTTTATCTCCATTGTTTCCACAAGACAAAAACGACAATGCGGTTTCCACGGCAACGCTATCAAATGTATAAAGGTCCGCAACAAGACGAGGGCAAACGAGAACACGAGACCGAGTTTAGACCCATCCAGTATCCCCTTACTCTACTCTACTCTACTCTACTCTACTATCAAAGCAACGCACCTACAACAAACTGTAGTAACTAGTATCAAGGTGTCAGAGGAAATTCCTTGGTCACCATAGCTTCCAGCAGCACTCTGGCCAATCACTGTCAGTTAGAAAACATTAGTACCAGCTCGGCCTGGATAGAACCAGGACCAAGAGGGACTAAAGAAGGACCTGGTACTGGTTAAACAGGACCAGAGGGAGAGTAGAGTAGAGTAGAGTAGAGTAGAGTAGAGTAGAGACCAGTGACCTGATGAGAAGAGTAAACGTGTTTGTAAATCTTGGTCTCAGATTCTGGCTGCGTCTCGTGAACACAAACAGACGCTGGTTTATTCAGATCATAAACATTTGGCGGTAAACAAGTTTACCATTAAAGGGTGAAATAAAAGAAAAACTACACTTTATTTCATGATAACTGGAATGGAGATGCGTAATGTAGCCATAGATTAGTATTGTAAGTATTGTTACCATTTTTTTTTTTATTGTAAAAAAAAAAAATTATATATATATTTTTTTTCAAAATCACTACACACCCCTATGTGTGTGTAGTTTATGTGTGTGTATATCACAGCTGTCGAGTCATAAGAATGAAAATATAGTCAAATGGGTGTAGTACATTTGGGTTTTAGATTTGACTCAGACTGAATTAACCCTTTAATATCCTTTTGTCCCCATAAAACTTGTAAACCTGTGTGTGTGTGTCTGTGTGTACTGTTGGTGCTGGTGTGTGTGTTTATCCATGTCCGTGTGTTGTGTGTGTGGAGTGTCTGTGTGTGTGTGTGTGTGTGTGTATGTGGATGTATGTGTATGTCTGTGTATTTATGTCTGTGTGTGTGTGTGTCTGGGTG